GAGAACAGAAAAGGGGATAAAATTGCACCCTGGTTTACAGTAACAGTAGATGACCTAATACCATTGAGACAAGTGAATTGGCGTCGGCCGGTAGAGTAGTCGTGCATCCAATTCAAAAGATGTGGCGGGAGATTATGTTGTCGTAACAGTGTCAATAGGATGTTTCTGTCGACAGAATTAAACGCGTTTGTGTAGTTCAAGAAACAAATGTGAACAATTTTGTGTTTTTCGTCTATCGTGGATAAAACTCAATGTATAAGACAAGCAACCGCATCTAAAGTAGGGCGACGCTTACAGCAAGCAAATTGATTGGAATCACGAAAATCAACATTAGAAGATAGGTGCTTAATAAAAATACGCTCACAAGTCTTAAGTAATACTGAAGATGACGTAATAGGTCGAAACTTACTCTTTTCTTTCTTGGGTACTGGAGTGATGCGAACATGACGTCATGTAGTAACTAGTCTGCCTTCTGACAGATATGTATTAAAGATAAATGAAACCGTTTTCGAGGTGGTTTACACATGTTTTAAGGACTGCTGGGGATAATCCATCAGGATCAAAGGATTTATTTCCATTAACAGCATTTAACTCCTTTAAAACTTGCTCTGTTGTGACAGACACAAGACGGTGGGAATCAAGTGACGTTGTGTTTAGGCTCGGTAAAGCTTGCACAACGTTTTCCACTGAAGCAAAAGATTTGTTGAGCTCATTGATATCACATGAGACTAGTAGGTAAAGTTGAACGACCACAGAGCAACTTCAGTCCGTTCCATAGCTGACGGTAGGATTTGTCTCCTAGCGCGGTGTCAACGTATAATTGATTGGGATGAGCTATCTCGGTTCTGATGTGAGAGTTGACAGATGTGACCGTCAGTTTATCTCTCGAGCCTTCGCAACCATTTCAGTCTATCGGAGATGAAGCGGCTGGGCTGTAGGTGAATCCTTTCTTGAGGGAAGCCCACATCATAACAATAGTTGAGGTAATTGGTAGGATTCTTACAGAAGACTGAAATATCAGGATCGAAGAGTTGTTGTAAGTTCGTACCGCCAACCATGGATTTTAATTCCATCATATTGGTCAGATGATTTTGTCGTAAACGTATCTTACGTGCATCGTTCTTCATCCGGATTTGTTGCTTGCATTTACCATATATTGTAGGTAAAATTTTAATCAGACAGTGATCGAAATTACCTACTGGTGCACATTTGAAGGTACGGAAAAAAGACGGTTCGTTAGCGAAAAAGTGGTCCAAGGACGCATCATTTCGAGTGGAAAAAGTAACAATGTTCTGAAGGGACATAAGTGTGTGAAAACTCACATCAGATCTGTTGAAATCGCCAGCAACGATGAATACAGGTATGAGAGATTTCTCCAACGTGATTGGATAGGATACATCAGGGAACGTAGGAGTACAGTCAGGAGTAATGTATCGCAGATTGACGCAGGAGAACACGGGGTATACATTCTACAGAAATACAAGAAATGTTTTTGTTTGCAGTGAGTGAATATGCATTTGGTGGAGTTACACCACGACCGGCGCACATAAGTGATGACGCCTCCACCTTTAGTTTTCCTTCCTGGAGGTCTATCTGCTCGAAATAATTGGAAGCCTTTGATCTGAACCAATTCGCCTTCGACGGTTTCTTATAACCAAGATTCTTGGAAAAGTAGCACGCAACCTTTGGAATACTCTCCGTAGTGAATCAGAAGACCAATATCCGATAGCTTAGAAAGAATTGACCAGACATTCAACGACAAAATGATCGGAAAATCAATGCTCTTTAGGTGTCGGTGCCCAAGTGCAACTTTCCAGCTAGCGTGATGTTTTTCCGTTTACTATGTGAATTTCTGGTGATCCTTTTAACTTTATTTCTCACAAAACGAGTAAAAGCACGTAAGGAAGGTCCGTTGATATATTCGACGGATACTTGTACGGAAATCAAACTGAGCGAGTTGTAGGTTGAGGTCACCGTAATTGATATAAAAGTATATCCAGAGTTTGTGTGATAAAAAAAAACCAAAGCTCCAGCGATAACAAAAAATGACACGGCCAGTTTCAAAGGCCCCATAGTGTTAGACACTAGCGGGACAGTTTCGAATAGCGTATCACAAAAACACGTTGACACAAGCATTGTAACCCGGAGATTACCAGCAAGGCGATCTAACGGTTTGTGCACCGTGTTTACACAATGAAGAAATCAAACGGGCCATCTTTTTGTCGTTGCTCTTGTGATAAAATGGCTTGATCTCTTCGAAATCCACAATGACGATTCGAAAGCAAGATAGTAAAGTTTAATAGTTGATACCAGATATCTGCCGAAGAATGCTGGGAAGCATTTCAAGTGGTCTTACCAAGGTTATATGACTCTTTCAGATAGATAGCAGCCACTATTGAATACCAAAGCTTTCCGATGACCTAACAGACTTGCAAATCATAGACTAACTTCTTGGTTATAGAGTTTACTGTACTATGTGTGATTTGTTTCACACAACAGATAAGCTCCTGCGCGAACGGGATACCCTGTAATTGGAAGCCAGTTTTGATTCCATAGGAGCTGTGAAAAACTGTTCTTTCCGAATATTGCTCTGTTCATACTTTAAATCCGTAGGAGGACGAAGCACCTATTTACTGATATATGTTCGAGTTTTTGATGTCAGTACATTCACCGATAAACGTAACGCACCTAATCGATCGTTCTTTTTTAGGGCCTGAGTTCAACATTCATCAAAATATAATCCACCGCCTAGTTGGTTGAGGGGTTACTTATTTTCGTCGCTGAACCACACGTTATTCCTGTCATCCAGGTATACGATGCCATCGTTTTCTTTTGCTGTTCTAACCGTGGCCGTACACCGTGAAACAGTGTTCTCCCTGATTTCGGTCAGCCAGTGCGTTGGTAAGAAATGCGTCCGTGTCTTTTCAGAAGCTTGATAAATCAGTTCATCTCTTCCACTTTGAGAAAGTTTGGTTGCATGCGACATTCCATTTTTTCCAAATTGAGTAGCTCTCTTCAGTGCAGATTGGTGTTTGTTAAATTGTCGAGTTACTGCTGCGTTGCAACTACCCTAATGTCACTAAAATGAAATGATATTTCAGCACTCAGTAGGCCTCATCATATAACTCAGCTCTTCTTTTTCCATTGAGAATGGGTCCGTTGGTGTGTTTTACACTCACAATCTTCGTAACTTCCGTCTTTTCAACACGAATGTCAGTAGGATTGTATCGGTTTTAATACCGTTAGTTGCTGAGACAATCATTTTATAGCGTTTGGTACTCTGCGCCCAAAGCCAGCACCTACAACCGAACACTGATTGTTCCTTTTGATCGAGCAGAAGTACAAACAGTGGAGAAATTAGTGAGACGAAAGGACTTTACTGTGTACAGAAACCATTCTCAAAACTACTTATGCTATTTACGCTGATTTGCATTGCTCCCGTTCGATCCACCTGCTCCGAGCATATTTGTTGTATGTCGGGAGTCAACAATCTGATTTGCATCCTGTTTCGGATCAACGCAGAGGCGAAATTCATCCGCTTGAAACCGCCGGATGATACGGGTAGAAAGCTCCCTTTCAATGCAAGGGAACAGGCACCATCTATTGGTGTCTCCCCCGCCACAAAAAGGACACCCCTATCTTTTACTGCTCGTTTTGTTTTTTGTTCACTACTACTTTCCGAAGCTAACTCCTCAAACTCCGACAGTCAAACCATAACGGGGACAATTTCCGCCAATGCGGGTGCCACTACCCCTGTGTCCATCAATGCTTCGGGGGCTGTAAGCGGAGGCAAATATAACAATGTCGCATTAAACACCTGTCCTTCGTCCACATCAACTCGTCTAGGTCGCGGCGATTTGGTTCGTACCTCGGATCGACCCAGTCGGACTGAGGCTCAGCGCCTGGTGTCACATTCGCGTGTTACTGCGGGTGGCTCCGCACCGTCGGATACAACATCTCCGCCTGTGGCGGGCGGTGGTGGGTTAGCCGCCTACCCGAATGTCGCTGGACAGCGCGCGAGTCTGGATAGTGGCGGATCAGGCAGGCCCATGACAGCCGGAGCAAGAAAGACTCTGAACACAGTATCTCAGAGCCCAAATCAAATCTCCAAAACGTCACCTAGTATGTTTTTGAAGTTGATATTTTTTTTCCATTTTTGTGCGAAGATTTTGTTGTTTATCGGGAGCATTCTGGTGGCATCAATTTCTGACTTTGCTGTACACAGTTTGTAGGGAGTATAAACTTTATCTTCTTGTTTGAACTAGTTGGTTGTTGTCACCGCTGTTGTAGATACTTTGCCCATCGTGATGAAAGCCTGATTAGTGCTCGCATTGCCTTCACGATATCTGACCCGCACTGAGACCACGCTTGTAAGACAGTGAGTGGTTTGTTGACTGATCTCCGCGCTTGGTTAACTGGGGTTTGTTGTGTTTATTTTAGTATTAGCAGTGGTTAACAAAGTGTATTTTTGACTTGAGGTCGTACTTGTCGACGCACCTCTTATCCCTTACTCGATGATCTTTTGGAGATAGAACATTGATGAACATGGTTTTCAACAGGAACATCTCACAAGTACCGTTAGACTCATGAATATTTCATTTTGTTATGGCGATTGTTCTCGTACACAGTTTCAATCCTTCAAAGAAAAGTGGGATTCATATTATAGAAAGGTAATGTCCCCCTTCCGGTTTTCCTTGTCCCTCAGTTTATTGTCCCATTAGTGAACACGGTTTTATGAAACTGACGTAGAAGGCAAAAACAACCACAGCAAAAATCCCCATCTGAGTAATCATTATTTTTTTCCCTCTTTTCATACAAAATGATGTTACATAAAATGTTACGTATTATCCAGTTGATGAGTCATCGAAACTAAGCTTGTTCGCTCAACTGCGTTTTCATTCAATGTGTGCCTCTGGCACATTCCGGAAATTGAACACCTTCATTTCGGATCTGTTATTTCTCCGAGTTCATCTTACGTAATATCGACTGTTTATTTCTACCCTTAACCTGTTTCACAATCGTAAAACAGCTACTTCGCTCTCGTAGCTGATTGATAGATCTAATACCGCTTTCTACCTCGTGCTACCTCAGGTACATACGATACGTATTCTAACCGTCGGCCTACTATTGCCTCTACTGGCACAGGTAGATCAGGTCCTGGAACTGGGGCCGCCTACGATACAGCCGGTGCACGCAACTCAATCGCTTTGTCTGGTTTGGGTGCTGGGGCAGCTTTGATGGGACCCGGTGGTGCAGCAGCTGAAAAGGGCGGTTCCGGTCCAGGAAATGGACAGCTATCCTCCAATGGTGGTGGACGTCTTCCTACTCACGAAATCCGAAGGTACAGGTTTTGTGCAGTGTCAACCTATATGTATTTTTGTATTTGTATAACTTGTTTAAGCTCATGCGCTTGGATTTCAGTTAAAGATGTACACTGTTCGTCACGCGGAATGAACTATACAGTTCCACATTATAACGTGCAACGTAAGGAATGTCGCGGTAGTTTGTTTCGTGTACAAAACTTCTGACGTAGTTCACTTGCGACCTGTTCCTTTTTGGTTAGGAGTCGGGTCAGGTAGAGTACAGGGTTATTTTCATAAATGTTAATATGACAGAGTAGATACCGAAAAAGGTAGCGTGTGAAGGGATGGGAACGACAAGATCGGGATGCAGTGGATGGAGATGGTCGTATAGAGTCTCATTGAGAAATTTAACACAAGAGTTAGTGCGGCCAATAATAAGTTCTGTGATTTATGAATCGATTGGGATTAATGATGCATGACTGATTATCATCAAACGACGACCAATGGTTTTTAAGTCTTCTTTAAAAAGGCGGGGAAACACTGCAGGGAAGCAATAGAGCAGAATGCGTAAAACGCATTGATGAACAAAAGAGGACTGGACTAACTGTGGGGTTCGAAATTGCCTAATTGCATAACTGAAAGACAGGCATCGCAATTCTCCCATACCATTTTGAATGCGTGTGGATCAATGAAGATTGCTGTCAATGGTGACACCCAGGTACTTGACTGAGTTCATTCTGGGCACAGGTTTGCAGTTAAGAGTGGTAGCGTTAGTTGGAAATGAGGAGTGAAGATACACTCAACGCACTTAGATATCTTGAGACTGAGACCAGATTGGCTGAAAAACTGCTGAATATGGGATGGTTTTTTTAGTAAAATAATCGAATTCCGAAGGAGATAAAATTTTCTAAAGTGAAACGACGTCGCCAGCTGAAAGGTCACTAGTCAAAGCAGAAGAAAGATATGGAGATAGAACAGCACCTTGAAGAACAAAATTATTAACACGAGGTTTTGATGTCCTCCTTCCTAATTTGGTGCACTGGAAACTCCCTGTGAAACACTCAGAAAGCCATAAGACCAGCTGTCTCAGAGTGCCAAAAGATTCAAGTTTGAAAAGAAGGAATGATCTAAAAACAGAATCAAACGCGGACACAGTCAAGAAAAACAACGAGTAGACTTAGTCGAATTGTTCAGCAACTTACTGAAGAAATATATTAGAGTGGATACGGCGTCCAGTGTAGATCTATTGGCTTTATATGCAAACCAGAGGGGGTCATAAGGGATTGTGGTAATCGACTGTCAACTCTAGAGCCGCAGAAGTCAGCTCCATAGGACGAANGACGAAACCGTTTCGCACGAACAGTTCAGGACGAGGATTAAGGGATTGGAATAATTGTAACTTGACTCCAAGAATCATGATTGGACCGGGAATATAGTGACTCATTCACGATGAATGCCATCATATTGATCAGGGAGGCTGCCCTCAATTTCATAAGTGCCGGAGGAAGACCATCGTCATCTTGCCCTGGAGGATCGGAGGTGCCTAAAGATTCCATGATGGAAAAAAAGACCGAACTGGGTTCATTGTGTGGGAAGGAGGGAATCTGGCTCTCGTTTGACGGATAGATGAAAGCGACGTCAAGACTGTCTACGTCCATTGGGGTTTTCGATTTTTTTCTGTTCTGCCCACAGAAAAGGCGAATACCTTACCATAAAGGCTTTTTCTTTGTGCCTTCTCGGTGATTTCAAAAAGGGTGGGGTAATTCTGCCGTCACTGGGGTTCTCATGGGGCAGTTAAAGATCAATTTAATCGTTTCAGTGAACAGACCGACTTATTTAAAAACGATGGACACGAATCAAACCAAGACTGAACGGTAGCAACAGACCGGTTGAGAAGAGATATGCGGTTGGGTGGAAAGTCTCTTAGATGAAATTTTATCTTAGTAGAACGTCTGAATGTTTGATAAGAAGTGCGAGAGTATACCTTTTGTCTAACAAGAGGAATACAATGCTCACTGGGAGAACCGGGGCCATTAGTTTGAGAGAAAATAAGTTGGGGTGGATTGTAATCATTCTGTCCAGCACAGACCTACCTCTGGCAGGAGAATGAGAAACGTCAGAGAGATCAAACGGAAGCAAGGGAGAAATGCTTGCATAATTGAAGTAATCAAGTAATTGAAGATTTTCATCTAATAATGAAACTAGAAACGGGATATAGGAGTCAAATAAAGGGATTTTCGTCTGAGAACAAGAGGGAGATATATACACTTAAATGATTGTACCTTTATGAAAGGGAAAAATTGTGATGACAACGAACAGATTAACAGTCAATGCATTCTTCAGAATAGTTATATGTCACTTATGACATGCCGCGCCAGGAAACTTTGATACAGGTTGCTAAGCCACCAGCTTTTTTCCTACTTCGCTGCCTATCTTGCCGGTAGCAATCAAAGTCTTCTATTCCCACTAGCCCGTCCTCAACGTTTTCTTGTATACATACAACATATGTGTTGTAGTTAATGCGTGCGTTCAAAAGGAGGTTAAATCCGAGGTCTTCGCGAATAACGAGCAAACATTAACGCTGACCAATAATGGCACAGTCATCTTGACAAGAAGGGTGCAAGTAAGTTTAGTCTGCCGTCTAGCCAGTCTGCGTTTTTTATCTGAGCACATTTATGAATCTCACCAAGGAAATAACTAACGGGGAGCACTGAATTCCTGTGTTTCAGTCAGAGCATGTCCTGACGACAACACTTATAGATCATGGACATGCTTAGCATCGAGATATTGATGAAACCGACGCGATACATTCTAACGTGACAAACAAGCACGAGAGTGTAACGCAGCCCATCGAAGGACGCGCGTGTGCATGTGGTTCTATCAGTTCAATTTGACTGTCCATTTGTAACTAACTGACGGTATCCTGAACCTTCGTCGAATTAATGCCGGTAAGAGTATCTACTTCGGTGTTGCGAAACAGCCCACCATAGCCATCGGAATGTCACGTCAACATAAGTGTTTCAGTTTCGTTTATATATTGCTTCATTCATTGACCCTAACGGCTGAGACTTGTGAATCTGTGAACAACATTTCATTTCTGACCACGATTTTTCTTGCATAACTGTCGGTGGCGTTTTACAAGGTCGTTTTTGTTTTGAGTGAACGGCTTATTTCATCCTACGAGGCCATTATAGAAGTGATCAGTTCGTTCTACCCTATTTGTATGGCCTGTCATTTCCCCTAATTTCAGTTATGCTGATTCCCCATACTCGGCGCCATCCAGCAGTGATGCTCGGTTTTCGTTAGTTCAAATTGCGAGTGCAAGAGTCCGTACATGTTGGATGCCGACTTTCCTCAACCCTTAATGCATTTACAGTGCTGAGGGTGAATTGGCGGGTAAATTTTCAATTTCTATGCGCCGTATGGTAGCCTTCTGTCCGATTCGAG